CTTAAGCAACTATGTAGTCTTTTTCCCCTACAAATTATTGCCTTGAAATACTGAATCAGGCAAAAAAACCCCAGTCTGTAATTGTTACTTCTAATAGTGTAAAAGTGTAACTCTCAAAACTGCGCTTCAAGGGCAAAAAACTACAATAACTGCAGACAACAAACACATTATTTGATCTAGCAGCTCCTAGGATATGAATCATGGTGAATTAGATTTATGAGGGGAAATCAACCCTGTTTTACATAAAGGATGGCTTATTCAAAGCAGTTACATCAAACTGAAACATCTATCATTGTACTATTACTTCAATCACAAATGGTTTTCCCCCTCGTAATACACAGATAGCACAAGAGGACAATGATAATGAGACATGATGGTCAGGGAAAGGGGGGAAGTAAAAAAATAAAACTTCATCCCAGGGGGCAAAGATGGTCATGGGGAAAAATCCTGTCTTTTACAAGACACTCGTAAACAAAAGCAAGTATTTTCCCTCCCACCACTACTCTTCTCATTTGATCTTGCTTCTCTTGGGCATTTAACAAACTTCATGTCAGGACACCTTGATTCCTCACTGCCAGGAAAACATAATCTAAGTTTTCCCACATTGTAAAGTCCCATTAAAGAATAAACTAACCATTTTCCTTAAAAGGCACAAATCTCCCCCTCACTGTACCACAACCCCACACACTCTTTTAACCCCGCAATCACCCCTTCACCAGCCTCCGATGCCTGTGAGAGAAGCACACACAAGCAGATAAGCCAGCCACCAGAAGTTTAAGGTACTGATGTAATCTCTCCAGTAGCACTCTGCCCAAGAACATGTAACTTCAGCCTAGCCACTCCTGGGCCAGCACTGATAAGCTAATGTGAAATGAAGCAATCCATTTCCCAATGTAAACAGTTGTTTGGCTACACGGGGAACAATATAAACAAACGGATCTATTTATAAATCATCATTTATGCTTGTTATAGAACAGGAATATTATGTTCCAGGGCAGAAGTGATAGTATTTCCAAGAACACAGCAAAAAATTCAAAGAGCTGGTATCTTCTTCCATCAGCCTGCCCTGCTGACACTCCCTGTTCCAGTACTATAGAAGCAATAAACACACGATGTAGGGCCTGATCTTTAGGAACAAGATACCCCTGATCCAGCGGGTGGGAAGACAACCTCATTATCGCACCCATGGGTTCTTCCAACAGCTCAGCCAAAGTCAACGGTAACATCACTTCAGCTCCGGGAAGGAAAACCCGAGCCTTACTCCTACTCCTTCCACCCCTGCAACCCAAACGATCTGGTTTCTCCCCAGGCTGCACACTCCGCTCGTACCGAGAGCCCGGCTAGAGGTGGCACTCCACAGACCCCTACACTCATTATTTCCCCCTCCCCAAAGGATGGCTACCGCACTCCAGAGCGCTGGTCTCTTTCGAGACGTTTTCGCTCGTTTATGGAAGCCCCAAGACAGAGCACACGCGGGGCGAGCTGCCGCTGTCAGTACGCCCCCGACGCGGCGCTCCGCCGGCGGCCGCGCTTCCCGCGGGCAGCCTGCGCCCCGCCGTGCCCGCCCCGCAGCCCGGCACCGCTCCCGGCACAGCGCCCTGCCGCCCGGGGGCTCCCGGCGGGCGGCAGCGGCGGGGGGAAGGCCCCCCGCCCACTTTGAAGCGGCCGCGCCGCGCTAGGCACAGTGGCGCCCCCTGGCGGCGGCGGGAGGCGCCTCCCGGCCGCGGGCGCGGGGATCCCGGGATTTCCCGCTTGGCAGCGCCGCCGGCCCGCGCGTGCCGAGTCGAGCCGCCGGTTGTACCGTGAGGCTTTTCATCTGCTTGAAGCAATAGCACTTCGAGTTGCCTGGGCGTGATGGGCCCAGCAGGTCCGTCAGCGGCAGAGAGAACAACGGGGCTGGTTGTGCCGAGGAGGCGAGGGGCTTGTCCTGCCTGCCAGGGAAGGAAGGAGGGGAAGGCACGGGAACCATGACGAGCACGGCTGTTCTGCGGGAGCTGTCCGAGCGTCCCTGTTGTCGGTGTCTTTGAGGAGTGTCGCCATTCAAGGGCCGGTGCTCCTGCGGCAGGCAGGAGGCACGGCAGGCGCCGCAAGGAGCGGGGAGGCGAACGGGAAAACGGGGGAACGGGAGCTGTCTGGCGGATTCAGCCCAGCAGCCGCCCCGGCGTGACGCGCACAGCACAGCAGCCCCGGGCACGGGGCCCGCAGCATCTCGCTGCGGCCCGGTACTGGGCCCCTCGCAGCGCCGCAGTGTGCGGGGGAATGGCAGAGCGGGCGTAAAACGCTAAGCATCCTGTCACTCACGGCCAAATACCGTGAAAAGCTCAATTTGAGGTGGTCCAGTACAAGAGTTTGCACCGAGCCTGAAGATGGAAGATGAGCTTGAGAAGCTGCTTGTCTTCAATCTTCTAAATAGACTGTCTTTTCTCTCTTATTTACCATAACAGAAGATAATCTTTTTTTTTGTTCTCGGATATTTATGGATAGCTGTGCTTTTCGTGTCGGCTGTCATCTGAACAGCACAAGGTATTTGAACTGTCTTCTCCCAGCACAGAGCAGTCCACTCAGGCTTGTAACAAGTGCCTTTCATCGCGAGGAGAATCACCACCATTGTTCTCCATTTCGGCCTCCATGCTGCCCTTGGCACCGTGCAACAGCCCCCTGCTAAATACAGACTCAATGCATCCAGAATTACAGATCTCTTTGGAATGCAGCCACACATTCTGCTAGTATGGCTTGTATTATAGAAAAAAAAAATTAAATTTCAGGGAAACTTAGGAAAATAGAAACATTTATTGAAAGGTGCAACACACTCATGAAATACGTAGCACTAATTATTTAACACTATTAGTCCAAAACTGTTCATTTGTAACACTCAAATACATCAGGATCCTTCACACTGAAAAAGAGGGCATCCTAAAGTGCATCCTAAGTGACAATTTTACCCAGGGTATAGTCACAATTTTATCAGAAGTCATCCTCCCAAACACTCATTCTCTACATTTTTTTTTTACAAATAGAAACAATTGTATAATGATAGTAGAATGCAGTGTCAGTTCCTTCCCAATTCAGCATCTTTAGCAACTGATTAGCTGCAATACTATGATATTATACACAAAGATACAATTAAGCATACCTGTGCTTATAAGACTTTAATCCTGATTTTCAGGATCACAACATACCTGTAATCACTAAGCCTGGGAGTAACCCCATTGAATTCTGTTTTATTTTTCTAGTCCCATATTGAAAGGTAGCCCCTAATATATAACAAAAGCCCAAAGTCCACTTTTGGTCCAATATGTGTTTATAATTTATTTTTTTAAAATAAACTAGATTCATCAACTATAGCCAAATTTTTGTTGTTTTACACAACATTAAGTTTTCATATAAAAATGCCAATAGCTGTACATTAACTTAAATTACTCTCAAACTGTAATGTGAGATTCTTCATTTCCAGTGTACACAACTCATATTTCCTTTGAAAAGGAGTATCACACAGAGCAGAAACCTTTTACTAATTATATATGGTAATATGAGGTGATGTGAATTCCCTAACATTTTAAGAAGATAGCACATAGAACCTTCTAACAAAAGCCATCTTAAATGTCTGTGCATTATTTACTGGATTTTGACATTTTCAGCTCCTTCTTGTTTCTCCTGCAGTTTCCTCTGTAGGCACAGAGGAAGTAAAAGAATAGCCATTTGCAGGGTAAAATGCAAAGCAAAGAATGGCAGGATTTCTGGATCTGAACAGGAGTTTGTGTACCTCATATCTGTGTGCTGTGCTACAGCTGGCATTTTCTGCAGAAGCTGCAGGGTGGTAGATTTTTTTGGTACATTGATGCACTAAATCTTTCCCCATCCTGGGGCTGAGACAACAACAAAGGAAAATGCTTTTTTCCTATCAGTGGGTGTAGGTACTGGGGAAGATACTAGGTTTAATATTTGAGTAGGGGAAGTCAAACCCCAGTTACATAAATTTGCACTGGCCATAGAGCCAGGGAGAACTCCAGCCAAGGTCAGTGAAATAGCTGCCAAAAGACTGTGGGGTTACTGTGTGTGGGCCACATTTTAAATGTCACTTAGTGTTAATGCAAGAAAAAAAATACTGAAATGTCAGTGTCTAGGAAGTGTTGTAATTGCAAAATGCAAAATACAAAGGGACAAAAGAGCACCACTGAGTATATTTACAGTTAGGATAGTAAAAATAGGAACTGAAGGAATTATAAATGGAACCATTTTCACAGAGTATTCATAGGAGCAATTTCCTTTACACAGAAGTAATAGCTCCTACTTAAGCATTTTCCCCCTTCAACTTTGAAGATGCATTAGGTGAATGCAAAACACTTCTTCCAAAAACTTCTTTAAAAAAATCAACTAGCATTTCCAAAAAAATTGAATAAGGTGTCATTTTCTCTATGTGGTATATTTAATTCATGCTGGCTCCCAACTGCTGCAAATATTTAAATGTGTGAGACAGTCCAGACATTGAGTTCAGTGGACAGGATGAATGAGTAGTGCCATCTCACTTCTGCTCTGTGCAGTGCCTTTCAGACAGAGGGAGGATGGGACTAGTTAAATTTGAAAACGTGCGATTATAAAGCCATAACAATTGCCAGAAAACCAAGAACAAGGGCAGTATATTAAATTATTTTTCAGGTTTTGGGGATTTTTAAAAAATTTTTGTATTTTATATTGATGCTACATGCTCTTAAAATCAAAGGTAGCTCCCACAAAATCAAATTAGTTTCATTTAAAGTCTGCAGCATTATAACCAGCAAGCTAATTAGTTACTGAGACAAACAACCTTTAAAATAAGGTTGCTTGATATACTTGATATATGAACTTTGTTGTTTGTAGTTTCATGCCTTAGCAAAATAAAAATTAGATTATTATTTTTTATATATATATATATATATATAAGATATATATAACCCAACATTAGATATATGTTGGGTTGTTCTACATGGTATTAATTAGTTTGAGAAGGAATATTCATCAGAACTATGTGCCCACAGTTCAAAAATAGTTCAAAATAATAATTCAATATTTACAAATAAAAGGAAAATTGAGACACTAATGTTGCCCTGTAAATATTTGTTAGAACAAATATTTGAAGGGCATTTTCAATGTGAAATATGATGTTGTTTATCATTAGGTAAAATGTACCTCTATGTTTTAGGATGGATGAATATAATACTTTTTCATGACTAAAAATATGTTTTCACAGAAAATTACATGCCCCAACATTTTTGCAAATATCATGTGGGTATAGAGAGGAGAGGGAGAAGATGCTGTAACAATTAAGTGTTAAAGAATAAAAACTGCCAGTTTTTTCACCTTGATTTCCTTTTAGATACATTATTATTTAAAGATTCCTGGATTCTGACCCTCTATTACCCCTGAAAAAAGCAGAAGGTGCTTCCAGAGGCCTGCCAGCTGGCCCTCCAGTGATTTACCCGGGAACTGCAATCCATCCTGCCCTGAGAAACAGGCAGAATATGTTCCCTGATAAGAATTTTGACTTCTCCATCATTACAGCTGTTTAGAATGAATTCGAGTTTGGGGTGTTATTTTTCTTGTTATCTGGCATGCACACTCATGTAGTATTTCATAAAAATAGTTTGCCTTTTATTCCTTGGTGCAATGGACTAGAAAGTTTATTTCAGAGAACTGTTCATGTGAAAGCTCTGAGAGTGTTTGGTCGTGCTCAAGAAAGTAATAGACAATGTAATCTGCATTTAGAAAGCATGTAACATATTCACATGTAGAGTTATACTGAGCATCACTCTGTGTAAAATACCAAGTGTAGTTAAAAGCATTAGATACAAGTATACACTCACCTATAAAGATACACCTATTTTTACAGAATGCACTGCCCTAACACGGTATATTGAGTCACCAGTCCAGTTTCATATCGGCTTTACTCCACACATACTTTCCTCCTCTTTTTAGGAACATCTTCTCATCAAATCCACTGAATTTTATAGCTGCTTCTACACCAACATCCAGGATAGACTTGGAAGGTTCTTTCCGTCCATTTCTACAGTTTAGAAAACGCATCTGGAACGTAAGATGGATAAGATCATAAGATGTTAGAAAGTTTGCAAAAGCTTAATTTTTTCTACAGACTTAAGCAAGTTGCGCTGCAATTCCTCCAAAGCCTATGCAAGTGCATGAAGAGGTTCACTCTAGTCCTTAGAAGGCTCAGAAACTCATGGTTAGACATGTGACATATCTTAGCTGGAACAAAGCAATATCATAATTCTTGAAGATTAAATGCTGTCACTTCGGTTACATGTAAACTAAGTGGGCACTCTGAAACTTTCAAGTTCTGCATTTTTATATTAAAGAAAAAAAGCAAAGATGTCCTGCAAAACTAGATATCCTACACCTTAAGATTTGTGGTGCAAGGATTATGTGTGCAGGCTGATGGCAATGCCTCCTTAAATCATACTATATTGTAGTTCACAACATGTCTGATGGGCATAAATCACATCTGTTCCTTGTACTACATGGTAAAATTGTTTTATAGAATGCAGAGTAAATTAACTGGTTATCACTGTTCTATACATACATATATTAGCATACAAATACCATGTATCAAAAAAAGACTTACATATTCATCCAGAATGAGGTATGAATCCCTCATCTGTAATAGATCAAAAGAAAAAAACTAAATTAATGTACAAGTCAAAATTCTATTCCACTGAAAATGAGGGACAAAACAAACAACTATTCATTCAAGGTCTGATACAAATCTTTTAAACAGTTGCTGTATCACCACTATTTCAGTGAGCTTGGATGAAATTTGTAGACATAAATGACAGAATTACTAGAAAAACTATATGTATGAATAAACTAGTTATTCCTGGAATATTACCTCTCCAGTGTCTAAGTGAAGTGTGGGCGCCCAACTGGACAAAGGTTTTTTAAATAATATCCAAGTTTTCTATTAACTTCTACACCAGAAGAACTTAGAGTTTTGCATGCTGGAATGATTATGCCATTTTCCAAACAAATGACATGACCATTTTAACTGGAAAGTCTAAATATAACCCCACCAAACAAAGGTGTTCTGCTGGCTCAAAGGTAAAAAAGCTCTCAGGTCTCCACAAAGAAATATGCCAACAACAGCTGAAATAAGACAGGCTTGCTTAGCTAAATGGACATCTCCTAAATCCTCCTTAAAATTCTCTGGGTAGCTGGAGATTGCTGCTATGTAGAACAGGAAATCTGATCAATTTGGTATTCATCTTTCACAAAGGTTTACCAGAAATCAAAAACAGTCTTCTGGAACCAAACCTACCATGGGAAGCCTTTTTTGTACGACTTCTATTATGAAAAAAAAAAAAAAAAAAAAGAAAAAAAAAAGTAGAAACAGTTCTGGGTTCTCATCTTAACCCTTTCTCTGATGAGTGCTCCCTCTCACCAAATGCTTTAAATGCTAACTGCACAGCCTCATTTTTAGGTCTTACATAGCAAAGGCAACCCAGTCTGCTCACTTGACCTCTATATATATTAAGAAGTAAAGTGTAAATGGAGTCCTTATCTCTGGAGAGGAAAAGGAACACAAGATGGGAGATTTAACACATTCCTGAACTTGGTTCAAATTGCTATTTCTTCACTTAATTCATAAACTTTCCGAACAGTGAGTCTTCTAACTCCCCTCATCCTGTCTTTAGGGTCTGTAGGCATTTACAAAATGGCCTGAGCTCCACCTTAGGCACCAAAGTCCTTAAGTGTGATCAATGTAAGCTGCATGGCAGCTGATCAAGTTGACTGGTAGGCTCTGCAGGAGCACAAGGAGTCTTCTCCTGAATAAAGAGCCTGAGTGTGCAATCCAAAATTGGAGTTCAGACAGAAAATGTTAAAAACGCAACTTTATTGTGAGAGGGATTACCCAAAAGTGCAATTAGTTGAGTACTGTTCCTCAGTACCCAATATAATGCTGATTGGGATGCTTATTCATGTAGGTTGATGACTCTGGCATAATGTGACATCACAGTCAATCTCTACTAGGAAACTATACTTAGACTATAAAGCGTGTTTACATTAACTCTGAAATTTTCAGGATCTTGTGCCCAAGTCAGGAAGAGTACTCCCACTGGGGTCCGCAGGAGTGGGAACAATGGGTTTTTCCTCTTCCACTAATAACTTTGTTGTCAATGAAAAGGCTTAAAGAAAATTTAAAATCTTGGCTTCCACCATAACAAAAGCAGTTGCTGATAAAGTTGTACTGAACCTCTTCTGAGCCACTATTAATAGGGAAAGTATTAATTACCATGAAAGTTTCTTGTTCCTTTCAAATATTCTAGCATTATTTAAAAATAAAGTTACAAAGGGACAGTTTCATTTTTACCTTCTGATTAGATTCAGGTACCAAGCAGGAGACATCTTTGTGGCGATCCAGGAATCTATCGAAGTCTTCATCACTGATAACAAATTTTTCTGCTTCTCTTAGAGCATCCTCACCACTGTTCTCCCCTTCGATAAGCAGGCACTGGAATACCTGGACAAAGAAAGCACCTGGTTAAGACTTTATGTTTTCACTTGCCTTGAGGATAAGAGACTTCAGTCTCAGTAGCAATGTCTTTAATTTTTCTGTCAGTGGAGCCAAAATGACACAACTTGTGATAACTGAATACTCCACAAAGGGCATGGTGCAGATTTATTTTTTGTAAATTAACATTACAGAGTTCTAAATGTTATAAATGATGATTTTCCTTACTATCTGAGATTTCACTTACAGTGTTTTTTGGTTTGTTTTTTTTTTTTTCTGAGTCATTCTGTATCTATAACAATATCCATGAGACAAATAATGATAAATTATTCCACAAATTCTCCCATATTTATGTCACATTTTATGTACCCATTTTCAAACTTATTTCTAGTAAGAAATAATAATATGTGTACACTAACCTCTAATACTCTGTAAAAGAAAATTAATATACACTTATATCTTGCTAACAATATATTGACTTTAATGTATCATTGTTCAGTAATCTTTCCTAATTTTCTCTACACCATAACATATATTCACATGTTAAAGGCTTTCTGTGATAATTTTAATATACTAAAACAACCTGGATCTACACACACTGAAATAGTAATTTTCTGTACATAACGCAACCAGAAAAAAGATTCTTGACCTACTGGGCTCCATTTAAGTGCAGAATGAGATAGAAAGTATCTCAGCACCATGCAAAATTGACAAGAAGGCTCCTAACACCAGCCCAAGCTGGAGCTGGAGCTGAAACTCAGGTCAATAGAGGATCAGACAACTCCAGGATTTCATTATTACTTTTCTTTGAACAGGAAACATGTGGTATATATTACTTTCTTACCTTCCAGCGCACAGGGTTGAGTGCCTTGATCTGCTCATTCATATCTTCCTCAACATTAAATCTGTTGATGACTGAATTTATTTTAAAAGCAACAGCATACTCTCGGCACCACTGCCGCAGTTTATGCAGATTTTCCACATGGTTCTTCTTTCCTTGATGACGGCCAATTAAAACATTGACATCCTCATCAAAACTATCACATGAAATTGCCAGAATATCTAAATATTCACCTGAAAACAAGTTTTAAAAATTGATTAATATCCAGTCCATCAGCTAAAAGCTGTCAGGACTCTTCTTACTTTCACTTCCTTGTCATCTGTCACAAAATGCTGGGTAAATGCAGTTCTGTGAATTCATCCCATCAACCACAAAAGCCACATCAACAGCAGCATTGCAACATGTATCTTGTGTGTGTGTGTCCCCAGCATTACAGAAACAGGTGGAACTATTGTTTTATTACACCATTATACCAAAAAGTTTTTGTGGTGTAATGCCTATCTTTACAACAGATAATCAACACTGTTTCACTGGTATTTACATCCAGGTTGCATTTACTATAAATGAAGTGCTAAGAAACCATCTCCCGCTTGCCCCAAGACCATCCAGGGGTGAGGCTGCCCCATGGAGGCTTCCCAGCCCTGCCAGTTTAGCTGTGCCCAGTGCTCCCTCCTTACCGTACTTCTTGAACCACTGCTTTCTGATCAGGCTGCCATTGCTAACAATGCTGACACTTGGGAGCTCCAACTCCTGCTTGCAAAACTGGACCAGTTTGCCTACAAATTCGCCTTTGTCCTGGAGAAACGGTTCTCCTCCCGAGAAATTTATTTTCTCCATTCCTAGAGAAGGACCAAAGAAAGATGCTATGAGCCTCTGTCGCCTGCTCCTGTTCCATGTTATCAGTGCCCCACAGCAGCGGGACAAGGGACATACCCGGGATAACTTTTTCCACGGCACTTGGTCCAGTGGGGCCCCCTTTCCCCGGTTCCCTCCAGACCCACCTTCCGTGGACTCACCTCCTTCCTTGAGCATCGCCAGCCCCCGCTTGGCCTCCTCCAGGGGCAGCACGAAGGAGGTCTTGGCCGTGTGGAAGCAGAAGCCGCACTTGTAGTTGCACTGCCGGGTGAAGTGATAATTGACGCTGGTGGGCGTCGGGGGCGCCTCGTCCCCTTCCTGCTCCCGCTGCGGCCGGGGGGGCGAGTCCCGCCAGCCGAGCAGGGACAGGGACAGGGACAAGGGAGCCAGGCTCCAGCACAGCGCGCCCAGGCGCCCTCGCAGCGCCGCCAGCACCGCCCGCCCGACGGAGAGCAGCCGGGCCAGCAGGGCCAGTTGCATGGCTCGGCTCGGCTCGGCTCGGCTCGGCTCGGACCCGGCGGGATGCGCTGCGGTTTCGGACCCGCCTGGGAACAGTTCGACTGGACTTGATTCGGCTGGAGTCAGTTCAGCTGGTCTCGGTTCACTTCAATCCGACCCGGCTCGGCTCGGCTCGGCTCGCAGGCTGCAGGGTGTCCGGCGCTCCGCACTTAAATGCGCGGTGACCTCCTCCCCTCCCCGCCCGTCTCGCCCCGCCGTGCAGGACCGCGGGGAACAGCTCGGTTTCGTTTTCCCTTCTTCCAGAAGCGAAACTTGGCACCGAGATGAGATGTTTTCCTTCTGCTGCCTGCCCCACCCGTGATTCCAGAGTCCCCACGCTCCAGAGCCGCTTCTTGGCCACGGCCGCCGCAGAACCGCCGGCTGCCTGGCGCTGGGAGCGGATTTGAGCACCTCTGGGTTTGAGTGGGTCTAGCACCTAGGACCCCTTTTGGTGTGTGAGGTCTCAGTGACTTTGGCTCTTGTCGTTAAACTCGTGTAGCAGGGGGAAAACTGGGCTTGTATAACTGCACTGCACCAGGCATTCAAGAGCTCCTTTAAGTTTAAACAGTTTTGCATGGAAGAGCAACCCAAGTGAGGGAGCCTGATGACTTCAGATACATGAAAAGAAAGTAATTGCAGGTTCTTTAATTCTTGGTCTCCAATAATGCTCCTCAAGCAAAGCTACTGCACCAAGTTGAGCACATGGTTAGCCTTAACAGCAGGAACAGTTGGCAGCCTGAGGTGAGACATTGGTGGCTGCCCACTCACAGTAACACTAGGAGAGACAAGGACAAAGCTGCCAGTTTCCATATTCCTCAATTCCTTGGTGGTACAACAGGTGCTTCTGGAGGAGCCCCTCCATGATAATACTGGTTGCTATCTTCAGTCTTCCAGTGTGTCCAGACACACCAACACCACGAATTTTCAGCCTCACTTCATCTTCAGTCAGCCTGTCCTCACTCTTGTATGGACTGCTTAACATTGCCACTACTGCCAAGGTACAGTCATACTCAAATCTTAACACCTTCCACCTGCGTGTTGTCAATGGCCTAAAATGGAGCTTCCCTCACTTCCACTGACCAGCCAGAACTGTTGATGTAGCCAAGCAGCCTTGCTCTCATGTTTCCTTCTTTTTATTTCCCTTTTTTTCCCCTGAAAAAAAAAAAAAAGGGTAGAACTATCTGCATCCTGCAATTTTCATGGGAAACAAAACCTGCTTGTGAATAACAAGTATTAATTAGGCCTGTCATTGGCTATTGTCAAATTCCCGTTATCTTTCCTTCACTTTCCTGGAGGTGATCTACTGGCTGAATGTGTGGATCAGCAAAAACCATTTTGAACAGTTTTTATTGTTTGAACAGTTTTTATTGTTGTCTCTGTCAGCTGTTTCTTGCTGGAGCAGGTTCATACTAGTAGGGCAGGATGAGAAACTTCTTGCTGTGTCTGGCTCCAGTAATGCCCCCTCACAAAGGTATTGCTGCAGCATGATGTGAAACATCTCACTTCTGAGGCTTTCCAAAATGGTCTCAGAGGCTGTCGGCAGAGATTATTCCAGCAGGAGTTAACTATGTGCCCTTCCAGTTCCTTGAGGTTTATGTAAGACACAAGATTAAGGATAAAAGCAGGCTGTTCTAATAAATAGTTTGTTGATCACAAACTTGAAAATATGATTGGAAAGAAAGGTGGACAAGACAATGCAAATTTAAACTGAAATCTGACATTGGAGTTGCTCATCGGTAGCTTCAATGTTTCAATTAATTTGGAGAATTCTGACATGCCCTGTTTCCTCCTCACTTCAAACATCCCTTCTGTTGCATGGTAGGAACCCTATTTCATTTGTTACCTTCTCTGGCCCCAATTCAAATTCCTTTCTGTCCTCATTCATATCCCTTGCTCATGTCAATGCAGGTGCAGGAACTACAGCCTTTCTCTCTTCTTTGAGCTGGAATGTTCATGACTAGCCCTGAGCTTGTTTCCTAGTACCTCAGATGGCCAGAAAAATTAGGTTCAAAATCATTAATTTCAAAAGTTGGTAAAGAATCCTTGATGATTATCAATGTCTCTCAACACAAAAATTACATCTGATACCCAAACACTCCAAAAACATGTCAGAAAAATATTGCTCAATAAATCAGAAAATGAAAGCATTAGCATTTTTGGACTGTTTTTCTTTGAAAACACAGACCTCTGTTTCAAGGAAAAAAACATGCAGAGAACTTTGTACCCAAGCATACTCAAGGCTTCCTGTTCTTTGCAATTCTATCAGTGCTTTCTTAGAAAAATGGAAATTATAGCTCTTTTTACTTTTGCCTCAATTAAGTACGTTTTTAGATGACACTCTCTGCTTTACTGTAAAGCCTCTCAAAGTAAACCCAGACCAGGATGTGCCCCCTACATATACACAAGTACCAGCAGCATCAAGAAGGACATTCACATTTTACATCCCAAACTGTGTTAGCTCACAGACTCTATGGTGAGGCCACAAGAAAACACAAATGTGCATTTTTATGCACAAGCTTTGAATCTACAAGAAATATTGCAAGCAAGAACTATAATGGAATTTTCTGTCCTGATGCTTTCTGGAAGAACTTCAGATAAGCAAGCATAAATATTCTTTGAAAATTGTAGGAAGTATGATTCCTTCCTCTAGCTTCCTCCAGAAGTCATCTTACAGTGGCACGATGGAGTCCCAGTAACAAAAATGTTTCTGTTTTCCAAATCTGTATCTGAAAACCCTTTAAGGATTAATATATTTTTTTCAAAAATTATTGAATATTGTTATTAATGGTGTACTAGATAATAAGTATACAACCAACATGGAAGAATCCAAATGGATAAACATAGATAATGCTCTTGTGCCTAGTTGCTAGGAAAGCAAAATCTTTAAAACAACTATATAATATTTATTAAATTAATGTAATTTTATATTTGAAATAAATGTATTGCTTTCTCCAGAGTGGCCATTTGGCAGTTCAGTCAGACAGTATTTTGTTAGGCAAACCAAACTACTGATACAAACCAGTAACACAAAAAAGGCTAAAGGAGGAGTCCTATCACATCACCTGGGAGGACAAGAAACAGTCCAAGGACAACCAGGCAACTCATGCAAATCATGCAACAACAGATCAATTTTAGCATTTGGTAAATGTATTCTTGCTCTAGTCTCATCTGGAAACTATCTCTTTCTCATTGCATCTGCAGCCCTATAAATGCAAATCTGTCAAGGACCTTGTACTTAGAGTGACTCAGCTCTCCTTGGGATGAAAAAATCCAAGGGTAAATTACCAAACAGAAAGCTCAAACCCACATGCAATTAAGTTACGAAAGACATATGAAACACACAATATGAATATAGATACAGATTAGGCACACTTGAAAGAAGTCCACCATGGGCCCTTAATAGTGTATATGTGATTTCCCATTCAGGAAGCATTAAAAAGATGGTTTATATGATCTAGGTAAAGATCATAGACTTTTAGAATGATAGAAGACCAGGTTGGAAGGGACCTCAAGGATTGTTTCTTGACAAAAGTATGTTGAGAGAAGGATCCTTCTGCTCCTTTCCATAGCCTTCCTCAAACATCTGGCAGGGGCCACTGTCATGGGCAGAAGGATGAGGAATCTCTCTTGGCCGGACACTATACTCACTTCTGTATTCTTATGGTCTTAGCTCCAAATCTTTTTCTTTCCTGGAGGGCTCTTTATTGATATCCTTTAAAGTTTATTCTCCATTAAAAGAGAAGTTTTATTTGCATGTATTCTATGTACCTACACATTTTATGGGCCTTTGATTTAAGTTTTTCCTGCCTGTGTATCAGACAGCTATTTACAGGACTGGACACTTTGCTATATTTTTAAGTTACAGGCTAATTAATTTCCGTGGTTTGGTTTTGGTTGTTTTTCTCTTTTTCCACTTTGTGTGGATCAAATTGATTTGAATATACATATGGCCTCTTGTTGTCTCTGTATCTCACCCCTATAGCTCTATGTAAGCACAGTGGACACTCAAAGATGTAAAAATGCTCCTGAACAGTGTTTTGTACATAATTAGCACATTTTTTCTTCAACATTTCTTCACAACATACAGAGGAAAAAGTTATAAACGTCCTTGAAAAGAGGCTGAAAAAGTCATACTGTCTCCACTGATTTTAAATACAGCAAAACATCTTGGGCATAAAAAGACAACTCTCTTTTCCTATATTTTTACTTAAATCCTGAGAGAGGGTACTTTAAAGTAATTAGGCAGGAGAACAGGCATGCCTATTATGAATGATCTCATAAGCATAATAAATATGAAGGAATCACCACCAGCTTGGTTCAGGAATGATTGTAAGAAGGTTATATCAAGGCAATGAGATGGGAAAAGGGAAACAGAAAATGAAAGTGCTTTCCATTTGTTCAGCAGAGAGGGGAAAGACAATAATAGCATTGGAGGGAAAAAAAAGCCAAAAAAAAAAAAAAAAACCCACAAAAAAACCAAAAAAAAAAAAAAAAAAAAAAAAAAAGAAGAGAAAGAAGCTGAGAGGTCAGTGAGGGAAATGGCCAGCTTTACAAGTGCTTTTGAAACGAAACTTGGCTGCAAGTCAGCTGGACCTCAAGCAAACAAATTAACAGAAAAGTGGCAGGTAAGTTTCAGTATAGATAAAGGTGAGGCAGTGCAAATCCAAAAGAGTCATTGAAACCTTGTGTACCTGATGCTGAGCTCAGCAGTGGCACTTGTGCTCAGGAAGGACATCTTAGTCACTGTTGCTTCTCCTCTGAAATCAAAGGCTCTGAGGGAGGCAGCAGAGAAGAAAGTCAACTTAAAGCTTAGTATCACCCAGAAACAAAGTAGATTGCATTACTCTGCTGGTCTGTGAAACTTTGGTAAGTGTAACCAAACCCTGACTAGTGGTCCAGTTCAGGTCTCCACACCTTGGCAGGACCTTACAGTTAAAGAAGTTATCCTTGTTTCTAACTGATCAAGGGGATGAAGCAGCTGCCTTACTAGGGGATGGAGGCTGTAATTTCTGACATGGAAGAAACTGAAGGAGAAATCTGAGTGATCTTTAAAAAATCCTGTAGGTAATAAATAAACTGAATGTTGAACTGTTATTCACCAAAATCAGTAATATTATCAGAAGGGGCATTTGTTGAAATAAGGACGCGAGTTTAAAACTTATGAAATTTTTATGC